GATATTGAAAAGTTTACCTGTGTACATTGTATTCCAATGATTGTACTGGTGTCTTGTGTGAAGAAACTTCTAGAGTGACAACTGGATTGATTTGATTCACCTAATATGTAACAGCAAAAGGATGATGCAGTTTCAGCAAAGGGGGAATTTGTAAACAAGCTTTGGTATATCTGCTAGGGGTAGGGTGGAAAAAATAATTTACATGAAGAAAAAAAGATGAGAGAATACATGGAGATGGATCAATGGATGGCAGGAGGAGAAAGGAATGATGGATAGTGGGCTACAGATACCGTGGAATGATAAATGAATAGAGGATGAAATGATGAATGAAATAAAAAAGAAAATAAATAAAGAAAAATTAGACTACACTATTTCTGTACAGTTTTCATTCAGCCTCTACATGCAAACCAGATAAAATATCCATACGTGTGTGATGAATGAGCATTGAATACCTTAAGATCATAAATAAGAAGTCTTCCATCTGCTGTGACCACAGAGAACACTAAAGGTCTGACAGGTGACCAACGCACTCTGAATAAATACCCTGCACCGGGCTCCAGCGACAGCAGTGGCTTGGACTGCAGAACAAGACAACTTAATTTAAAAATAAAATATTTTGCACAATTGACATTTCTCAGTTTAGAGTCATTTTCATCTATCTGTGAAACAATTACTACTAGTCAGTGTTTAATAGTAACTATTAGRGTGTAGTGCTACCAAAAGGCWAAATCAAAACCGTGTATTGCCCTTAAGTTTGTCACATGTCATAAGTTAAACTATCGGGAACTAATGGGGTAATTGTATTCAACAGTACAAGTCCTATTCCACAGACAAATGAAAATGACTCTACTCGTTAGTGCATTTACMCGACTACCAGACAGAGTCATAACTAATAGTGTATTTGCAGCTTACCTGTAACATTGTATAAATTCTGATGGTCCCATCAGTTCCACATGTTAAGAATAGATTCCTATGGTATGGTGAGCACTCAACAGAAAATACAGGACCAATGTGGTGAGCAAAGGCAAAAGTAACAGGAGACAACAAGGGCACAGAGCTTGCTGTATCTGCGTATAAGCAAAACATAAATCAAAAATCTGTATGAAAATATTTTTAACAGAAAATTATAGAAGGAGTTGAGACAGCGAGAACTAGCATGTGCTCTTCACAAAATGATCTAAGAGGTTTTTTCAGTTTGTACTGGTTCTGTGAGAGCATACTACATGTATTTACCACTGAGGTACTAAAAAGACTTGATGTTAAAATATCAACAATATGAGCTGCATTCATATGAATATGGCTGCTTGCTGTATTTGAACCGAATTGTCATTTCCTTTCAGTTTTTATTCTGTGTTTTGCACATTCAAATAATAAAAAAAAACAATGTTGGACTGAGAGAGTTTATAATCTCCTTTGTACAGCTGCAATGTTTTTTTGTTTTGGTTAGTTCATGCTTTGCAAAATGCTTACTTRTAACAGCTGTGCCTCGTGCATTAGTAGAACACTTAAACACTCCACCAGACTCTGAGCCAAGAACAAACAATGTCTTGTCTTCATGAGAGAATGACAGGGTAGTCACTGCAAGAAGAGAATGTCAGTTATCATCAGCTTCAATGAACCCTGTCCAGCAGAATTTGTAGGTTTTTAACTTCCATGATCTGATGTTTTAATTTTGTCCCACATAACATAACACTGTTATTA